GTTAATGGACAAATTTCAACCAAACTTGCGAAAAAACATCCTTTAAAATTAATTTTTAAAAAACGTCACATCGGCTTTGAAGGCGGGATAATTAAAAATAAATAAAATACTAATGCCATTTTCCAATGTTTTCATCTCAAGACTCATTTGATCAGATACAAATTAAATGTATCTTTTTTAACTCACCTCAGCCGAAGGTTCAAGTGACAGACCTGTTTACTCTTACGATTTTGCCGTATTTTGTACGGATTTTTAGTCTAAAATACGTCTCACGTTTTGCTATTATGAAAATACGGAAATTGGAAATACGTTTGTTTGAAACGTAGCAGTTAGATTTCGTTTTGATATGTCTTCGTTTCACGCATTTGAGTCGACTAAAAGGAGAAAAATTTCAAACACCTAAGTGATGTCGGGTTCCCAAAACGATGTGGTATTATAAAATGACAATGACCATGTTGTTAAACCAAGTTTTTGTAATCAGTGCAGTAGTTGTTCTTTTTTAAAATATGTAAAATCGACGGAAATTTAAATCTTACTGGCAAATGCCAAATCTCACGGAGAAATCTAATCCAAAATACTGAGAGACGACGATATGGGTAAACAGGTCTGAAGTGAGCTTTTCTGATCAAAATTTGTCCGTTATCTGTCGTGGTCGTTGTTGTTGTCGTCGTTTTAAACTTTTCACATTTTCATCTTCTTCTCAAGAACAAACGGACCAATTTCAACCAAACTTACCACAAAGTATCATTAGGTGAAGAGAATCAAGTTTGTTCAAATGAAGGGCCAGGCCCTCTTCAAAGGGGAGATAATTAGGAATTAGTGGAATAAAATGAAACTCATGTGGAAACATCCTCAGGTAGTGTAGATTCAAGATTGTTCAAATCATGACCCCCGGGGTTAGGGTGGGGCCACAATGGCTGATCAAAGTTTTACATAGGAATATTTAGGATTTTAATAAAAAAAAAATCTTCTCATGAACCACTGGGCCAGGAAAGATGAAACTCATCACATTACATTAAAGTTTGTTCATTCAAATCATGACTCCTGGGGCTAGGGTGGGGCCAAAATGGCCGACCCAAGTTTAACATAGGACTATATAGGGAAATCTTTAAAAATCTTCTCAAGTACTGCAAAGCCATGATTAGTGATATTTATATGGAATCATCCTCAGGTAGTGTATATTACGGATGGGTGATTTTATCGGTATTTTTTTGTTGCGTGATACGTATCGTGATACGCAGACCTAAATACCGGTCTTTAGGTACATATTATTAAGTCTAGAAATTATTCGTTTATTTGTTCAATCTGAGTGAAAAGCCCGGCATCTTACCATCCAAACATAATTGATTTTATATACATAAAAATTTAAAGAAAGTAAAATTTTGTTTTTCTAGCATATTTTTTAGAAAATTGATGACTTTTCATATAAAATTGTAAAAACTGCTTTTAAAAATATCATGATATTATCGTGATACATGTGTATACGAAATTTTTGGCGATACCCATCCCTAGTGTAGATTCTAGTTTGTTCAAATTATAATCCCCAGGGATAGGGTGGGCCACATTATGGGATCCATTTTACATTAAAATATATTTCAAAAAATCTTCTTCTCAAGAATAGCAAAGGCATGATTAGTGATACTAGTATTTATATGGAAAGATTCTTGGGTAGTGTAGAATTTAATTTGTTCAAATCATAACCCCTATGAGTAGGGTGGGGCCACAATGATGGATCAAAGTGCTACATAGAAAAATAAAAGGTAAAATCCCAAGAACAGAAAAGTAATATTTAGTCATATATACATGTAAGCATCCTCATTTATTGAAGATTTAAATTTATTCAAATCATGGCCCTCTGGAGTAGGGAGGGCAACAGTGGGGAATCAAATTAAAATTATTATGAAGTTGTATATAGGAAGATCTTTTTTTTCAAGAACATCAAAGTCATATGGCGTATTTAAATTCAAAGGCATTCTCAAGTTGTAGTAAAATTGAAGCCCCCAACCCCCACCCTAGCCTTCAGTACACTTTTTAGTTCTGATTTGATTTGTGCTCTTTCCTAGCCGATTTGCTCAGGTGAGCGATGTGGCCCCTGGGCCTCTTGTTTCATAAAGTTTATTTATTTTCCAGTTTGTTCAAATCATGACACCCAGGGTTAGCATGTTTAGGGTGAGGAAACAATAAGGGATCCAATTTTTATGCTTGGATCGTACATAGAAATATATAGGGAAAAAAGCTTCAATTTTTTGTCTTCTGAAGAACAGCAAAGTCATATTTTGTTATTTTGTATGTCCCTTTTGGTGTAGGAAAGGGCAGAAAAAAGGGGATCAGAATTTTATTTTTGAAAATAGTGGAGATGTCTTTAAAATTAGTGTTCCTAAAACAACAAAGCCATGTCATAAATAAAAGCACTGCTAGTAATATACATTCAATTTTGTTCAAATCATGACCCTCGGAAATAGGATTGAGCCACAATGAACACTTACTAGGGTTTACATGGAAATACAAAGAATAATTTAAAATACTGGTATTCCTTTCAAGGAAACAGGGGAACCTGATTTATTTTATTTATTTGGAATCTTTCTCAGTTGTTAGGATATGCTATAAAAGTTTTAGATGAAATATTTAGGAAAAAGAATCCCTTGGGCCTCTTTTCATATTATGGCTTTAAGAATTAAGATTTTTTCATCGTAGCAGATCAATATTCTAAAATTTAATGAAGAAGATTTTTTCATGAGAATAAAATGACATTTAAAAAAAATGTAGTAAAGAACAGACAAATCAATAAATTCAGGTGAGTGTTCTGGCCTTGGGCCACATGTTATATTTCAATGTATGACTTTATTTACTTTTTAAGGAGATCGAGAAGTATTTTGAGGAGTTCTGGGAGGCAGTACCTGCTGAGGATAAAGATTGGTTAAAAGAATCTCTTAAAGACCGTACATATGCAGTGGGTTTAGTTAAACTAAATAATAACACGAAAAGAAATCTGGATTCAATGACAAAGTCCATAGTTGAACTATTTACAAATAAGAACAATACAAAAATTGAGTTGGCTTCTTCATGGGCTTTAATGGAGCAGTTATTATATGAAGGAGCCTGGAAGGTTTTGCCCCTGAGTGAAATTTGGAATCTCAATGCATCCCTTCCTGTTGAATACCAAATTAAAAGTGATGAGGAAATGTCTATGTTTTTAAAATGTTTCCATGACAATGGCCTTCTTTTATATTATGATGAAGAGAAATTGAGGAAGCATACAATACTAGACATTCAGTGGTTTGCTAAAGCTTTCAGCAAGATTATTGCTGATAAAAACCATATCAATGAAGACTGCAAAACGAGATTAATAACAGAATGGAAATCCTTTAACAAAACAGGGGAACTTAAAGATAAAGTGATAGATGCTCTATGGAAAGATGAACCATCGTACCTGGAACACAAGAGTGAAATAATGTCTTACATGGAGAAGCTTCAAATGCTGGTACCTTTGGACTCTTTTGAGGCTGTATCAGAAGGCGACATGTCATGGTATGTCCCATGTATGAACAAAAAGCAGTTTAAAGCGGACTTCTGTGAAGATAAATGGGAATGCTCCTCCATTTTATGCTTTCGGTTCTCTTCTTTTGCAATGTTTGTGTTCTACAGACTGGTAGCATACTGCATGAGCTCTCTAAAATGGAGTGTTTCAAAGGACGAAGATAATGAAAGAAGTCCTTGTCTTTATCAAACAGCAGCAGTGTTTGATCACAATGAACACACTGTTGTTGTTGGCATATGCAATGACGATATCCAGTTGCAAGTATTGAGAATCACACCATTGACTATAGACAAATACGTTTCAAATGAAATTGGAGAATCCATTGAAAAAGCCATTGAAAAACTGACAGAAACATTTATTGGCACAAATATATTCCAAAGAGGATTCAAATGCCAAAACATTATTTGTGATGAGAAAGATTTATCTTTCACCCTTGCTGGTGATCTCTCCAAAATAAAAAGTGAAGAAATACAGTGCAAATGTTCACTACAGGAAAAACACGTCATAAAAGTACAAAAGACTCTGAGTTTCTGGGAAAAGGTAACTATTATACATATATTACATGGCTTCGAGGGCAGCATACCAGAATATTTGCCCCAAGGTGACAGGAAAGCCCTGGAGTGTTATGTCGCCCGATGCCGCAGGCCGAGGGGCAAATATTCTGGTATTGCTGCCCGAGAATTAAGCCATGTAATATATGGTATATAACATTTTTAAGCATTGAATCCATATCGATCATCGAACTTATTTATTGAACACTATGTACACATGTATACGTATATACATGAGTATATAATTCCGAAATATCCCATCCTGTTTCATGGCAGAATGTTTTCAGTATGCTGACACTTGTGTTGATAATCTTTGCTGTATTAAAAGAATTTTTCTCCTCAATTGAATTATCTAATTCCTCTAAATTCAAATAAATAAATCGCTGACGTTGTCTCGACTTTTTAACTTTCACGGAACTGTTTACGTTTGCTTAGCAATTGCCTCTGTGAATTTTGAACCCGACGTAATTAATATGCGGAATGATTGCACGCGAGGGAACATAACTGTGTTCGGGAGGGCAACATAACTGTTTCCGGGGAACATAACTGTATCCGGTATGATTTGGCAGTTTTTCAGGGCATATGGAAAAAAATATTATATTTGTGATACAATGGGAAAATTTCTTCAAAAATGTTATATAACTAAATGTTTACACCCAGGGCAAGCAAAGATTAAGATACAGAAAGTATGAAAGGGTCATCGTTGTCCTTTCTTTTGTCTCCCTTTATGTTTGGGCTTAAATCATTGAGGGACTGCTTATAACTTGAGGGTATCATCATGACTTGATTTCTACCCAAGGACAAATCTCAAGGACAAGAAATTTAACATTTGTGTCCAGTTCATAAATGATTCATGGAGACAATGGAGATTATAATTTGTTTGAAGGTTACTAATTGTTTTCAGATGTGTCTTGATCATAGCCTAATGTCATTTGATAAATTTATAAATATACATTTCAATAACTATCCATATTTTATAATGGAGAAACATTGAAAGTTAACATGAAACATAGGGAGATAACAAACAGTATTCAAGTTCAAAGGTCCATAAAACAATACAAAACAGGAGCAGAGTAAACTCATCCCCTGCAGACCGGTCTCACCACCATATCGCATGTGCTCCTTATCATGATCGGGAAATAACAGGAAGATTTGTCGTTATTCGTTAATTCAGTGTATAAATAATGGACTAACAATTAGTAGAAAAAATGTGCATCAGCATTTGACTCAATGTTCTAGTACTGAGTAAATTTGAATTTGGAGCCTTCCACAGGTATATGCTGATGTATACATATGAGTAACAGAATACTCGAAAGGGACGTAAAACGACAAACAATCAATCAAGCAATAAATCTATTTCTATGCACTTTGTATTTACTTCCACTATTTAGTTCCTATTTCTGCTAAGTTTAGTTCATTCTTATGTTTACATGTAACGTTTTTAATGCATAACTGTATTTCAGAGAAAGGTGAGTGATTCCAGTACTCCAGCGGCTTCTGGTGGACAAGACCTCGGAGGTCGATCAAGATTTGCAAAACTGGGAATGGCAATGAACGACGTGTTAAATCAGGCGTACAGGGATATTCTAGAGAAGGAGGTGCTCCCATCTGATATTGAGACCAAAGCTAAAAAATCTCCAGTTTATAAAAGATTGCGCCCAGAGCAAGAACATCTCTTGCTAGATGCTAAGCATTCGGGATATAAGAACTTTGACATTTCTTTAACATACACGTTGATCAGAAACATTAGCTCAACAATCCCTAAACCAACAAAAGGAAAATGGGGAGAAGAGCCTGCAACAGGAGAGGAGACAGTGGGTGATGATGTCGAGAGAATTAGGTTCATCCGAAACGGTTTGACAGCACACGTGAGTTCCGCCTCCATCCCTCAAGCAGAGTTCGATGACATATGGTCAACCATGTCGGATATCTGCCAAAGACTAGAAACCTTCACTGGAAAGAAATACTTGGATAAGATTAAGGATATTAAAACACTTACCTTGAAAAAGGAAGATGAGGATGCTATTATAAAAAATAAAATGCAAGAATTTGCTAAGACAATGAAATCAAATATGCTAGAAATTGAAACAATGCTCAATCTTAACTGAGATCTACAAATCAATAGTAATGGGTGTGGATCTGTGTAGATTGCTTAAGAATAGTTATTGTAACCTGAAATAGAATTCACATTCAAGTTTGAATGAATGTGTTCAAGGACTTTGATATTTGGAAATCAGATTTCTCAAAATCTTAATTTAAAGTGTAAAACACCGGGTTAAGAAAATCACAGTTGTTGATCTACCAATTTCAATGAATTCAAACCTTGGTGAAAATTGTATTTATATATACTCAATGGATCCTCTTAAAAGGCATCGATAACAAAATGAATTTGCGATGATCATTGAAAATCCAAAGAACAATTAACCTGTCCGTGAAATATGAAAATAACAAACAAAATTAAATCTCAAAATCTATTGAAATACAGTGTAATACAGAATCTGAGTAAAGCAAACATGGCCCCCTAAAAGAAATGTTGGGATAGGTGCCATGGAGGATTAAGTATACCATGTTGACCGGTCCCAAGAGTCGTACGCTGCCTATCAATTACTGCAACAAATCATCAGTCTGCATTCGACTTGGTGAAAGATTCTATCAATATTTCATAAGGGATTGTAATCTGGACAATTATACAACTAGGAAAGTGTCTGATTTATTTTAAGAAATTGTGTACCAAATACCCAGGTTATTATTCCTTATACTAATAAAAAAGTACTTGTTTACTTAGGGACAGTCACTTAACTCATTATCTAATGCGTGGTTGCATTTTTGATACACGTATTAATTTTTGATCTACTTGTTTCATATTTTGTTTGCTTTTTGCTCATTACATTATTGGATAATAATAAATTTCAAGTTGATTTGATATACTTTTTGATTGTAAAATGATAATGTATCTAAAATGTATAGATCTTCAACTTACTACACATGTATGTTGGAGCATAGAATTCAGAAAGATTTTGACATGAATGAAAATTGTAGTTAAACTACAGTGAATATTATGTAGTCAAATCAATGTTTTATTTTGTTCTACCTACATGTAGTTAATCCTTTTTCTGATCATGAGGCTTGGGGGAGTAGTCATCCATGTGTTTGTATATAAAAAAAGTCATTCGTTATTTTCTGACTGATTTATAAATAACAAAATAGAAGCAAACAAGGTCTTCATGAAATAAATATTGCATTGTAATTGAACACGTGCTCGATGAAGTATGAAGTGTAGTATAATATTATGCCACAATGCATGTATAAATGAAAATTTACCTGTGCACAAACAAGTTTATTTCTTTTTATTTTTTTCAAAATGATTAAGTGTATTTCCAGCTCCTGAGTATTGAATATTTTCTTAGCTTATTTACCACATATGTGTCATTGATTTGTATTCAAAAATGTTTAATTACGTTTCATAATCTTAACTGATTGTTCAATATAAATGCTTGTTTATAATGTATTGTTTATATGCATGTGAACCGCTGGCCTTTAGATCGCTTATAAAATAAAATGTAAATTTTTTTACCCACACACTTTTTTTTAAGTGATCCAAAGGCCTATGATGTGAACTTATTTGACTTTTTTTTGATTTGTTGCTGTATTATATGATTACAATTTTTTTTCATGTTCAAGTTCAAGATAATTTATTTCACTCACACCAACAGCAGTGGTACATGAGATACAATATATAAATTAGTTCTCATAATTCTAAGAAAAATAATAAATTTGATCATGATACAATAGCATAAATGAGAGTCATATAAATATGTACAAAGTATAGCAATAAACATACAATGAAAGAAGAATTAAAAAAAAAATAAAAAAAGAGGATAGGGGGTGTCCTTAAGTTTAGATATGAATATGCAAAGGGTTTTTTTTAAAGATTTTAAATTTGTTGTTGACACAATTTCACTAAACTTTAGCATATTTGGCGTTTTACAAAATCTTGGATGTAAAAGAGTCTTCTGATGCTATTCAATGTTTCGTCTGCAATTTGCCCTTTATTACACAATTTACAAACTCTTTCTTCTAATGGAATATTTGCCCATCTAACAGTGTTCTGATTAAGCAACGATACTCAATTGTTTCCTTTGTTTTTGATGAATATCGTTTATAATTGTTATTATTCAAGGACGACCTCACTTCTGTCCAGTTCCTTGATTTAAGTGAACATGTCTGAGCACCCGTTGTCTTGCTGATTGGCTGAGATCCAAATCTTTAGAAAAATACATTATATTTACCTGCACGTGGCGTTCCAGGTGAATATAAGGATTTATTATTTCTACATTGATCTGAAAATACATTGGTAAATTTAGAATTGAAACAAATAGTGTTAGAAAAGAATAAAATCTTCTACCTACTTTTACTCGTATAAACATAACATTAGGCTAATATATAATTATGTTCCCCAAACGAAGTTGGGGAACATATTGTTTTTACTCTGTTTCTTCTTCTTCTTCTTGTTATTATTATTATTAAGGTCTTCCGTTTCCAACGGAAGACCTTATTGTTTTCGTTCGGTTTCTTTTTCCCTATTATTAAGGTCTTCCGTCTTCACGGAAGACCTTATAGTGATTGTATTGTTTCTTATTATTATTATTATTCTTTTTTTGACAAAATTTTGTGCACGCGATTTCTCGAAAACTATTCAGCGGTTTTCAACGAAACTTTCACAAAAAATGCGTCATTACATGAAGTTGTGCAGTCTATAATTTTTTTTGGAAAATTTGCTTCCGGTGCCAAGTAATGGACAATTTTCTGATTTCAAAATGCGATTTTGTCGCGCACTTTTATCAAAAATGGCTAAAGATATGAACTGGAGACTTATTGAAGACGATAGCTCGCGACTTTCTGGTTTGCAGAATCAGCATTTTGTGTGTCGTCAATACTTCCGGTCGTTACGAGATGCAAATTTAAAAAATCGTATTTTTCTAACTTTTTTTGTTTTTCAATATTTTTAATCTATATTTGGTATGTTAATAGAAACCTTTCTTATAATGATCAGTATATAATTTGTTTGAATATTGATAAATCGAAACTCTAGATATTAGCATTTAAAAATCTGAAGCGAGTCCAAGATGGCGGATGTCCCTGTCAACTCCGACATTTCGCAATAGGGGTTTACGGAGTCAGCCGAGCGTTTGCTTGAACGAAAGTAACACAAGGAAAAATGAAATGTAAAGGAATACTTGGATTGTCACGTCGTAGTTACGTTGCAATTCTGTGTCAAACTATGTTCTTCTCAAAATAGAAAAAGAAAAAGAAAAAGAAAAGACTAAATGTGCAAATGAAATTCGATACCTAATACCTTCTGATTTGCAACACGTGAAAACAGATCTTAAATCATAGTTATAAGTAAAAGTTTTTCTAGAAACAATGTCAATGAATGTAGTAAGTATAGAAATTACAAACTGTTTTTCCAATGCACACTTGTGTCATATAAAAAATAATAGAAAAGACAAAATAAGATAACAATTTTTTAAAATATAGCTAAATGGAGTTTAAATTAACATTCTTGTCTCAAAGATCTGATTCAAGTTATTGAGCATAAGTGGTATCCGATTCCTTGATTGTTTTCGGGCAACACGTTTTTCGTCAAAACATTTCAACCTTTTCATAAAAGCTTAACTAATCGGGATAGTTCACTTAGGGGATGAACAGGAAATTTTAAAAAAGTTAAATTCAATAACTGTTTCATTGCTTTAGTGTTACTCGCTTATATACAATATGAAATTTATTAAAATGTGTAAAATATACTTTCTTCACCTTGATATTTTAGCTTTTTTCTTTCCATTGAAGCGATCACACCTATTTAATGGAACATTCTTAAGAAAAGGCGCGAAGATTTACTCGAGGCGTTTGATGCAAAATTATGAATAGTGATTCGCTTTTCATTATTTTAAGACAGATGTACTGTTGCAGAAATATATACAAATACATTTAGAGCTGTGGTCCCAATAGCGTAATATTAAGCGCATTGAATTTTCACGCTGGTGATTCGGGTTTAATCTACTTTGTTTCCATAATGAGTTTGATCAATTTTTTCAGCTCGAGTTTGCGGGGTTTTTTCAGAATCATACGGAAGACCTCTCGTTGCTCGCAACGAGTTTCTTTTCTAGTTATTATTTTTTTCTTACCGATTTTTGTGCACGCGAATTCTCGGAAACGGCTCGGTCGATTTTAATGAAACTTTCAGATCTAATAGATATTGATCTGAACCTTATTGGAAATTTTTTATATTGATGACGTCACTTCCGGTCGTGAGATATGGACGATTTTTTGATTTTCAGAGGGTCAGCTTGTCCAGGAAACTCCTCCAAAACGACTTAAGATATTGACTTAAGATTTTCAGTGAAAGTAAACAAAGGTTTAGTGAATTGTAATTGGGTCTCCAAATCTTTCTAGCGCAAAAGGCGCCGGAGCTCGGTAGAGCCCGGAAAAATGTCTCAGAAACATCTCACAAAAATTGACACATTTTGTTTCATATCTTCGTACCTGTTCATAATTTGTTAAAGCATATTGAAGAAAAAATGTGCAAAATTGCAAGACCTTTCATTTGATATCAAGAACATGGGCTGACCCCTCAAATTAAGGGCTCAGAAGGGCCAAAAGTCTTTTAGCTATAACTCTCTAATAATCAATATTTTGTTATACAGCAAAAGTATTCATCTTAACGATTTGCAGCAAAAAAGGATAAAAGTTTGATCACATGTTACGTAATTAAGGGTCACAAGGGGCCAGAATGTCAAATTTTTGACGCTTTATATCTCAAAAAAGGGGGAATGTTTTGATAAGCAATATTGAACAAAAGATGGTCAGAATAATGTTCTACACAATATGCATACTTTGAATTTTTGTAAAACAGCCCCATTAAGGACTTGTAGGGTGGCCCCTAAATATTTCCATATAGCATATCTCCACAACAAATAGAAATCTCTGAATAAGTGTTGAACAAAAATACTTCAAAATCACAAGACCTTTCATTTGATATTAAGAAAATGGGGCTGACCCCTCAAATTAGGGGCTCAGAGGGACCAAAAGTCTTTTATCTATAATTCTCTAATGATCAATATTTTGTTATACATTACTGAAGCAAAAGTATTAATCTTAACGATTAGCAACAAAATATTATAAAATTTTGGTCATAGGTTACGTAATCATGACTGATTTTTTGAGACATTTTGCACCATATCGTTTAAAGTATAATTATTTTGTTAAAACATATTGAACAATATTTGTGCAGAATGACAGGATCTTTAGTATGATATCAAGAAAAAAGTGCTGACTCATCATATTAGGGGCCGAGAGGGGCCAAAAGGCTTTATTCGATAACTCTTTATCAATCAATATTTTGATATGCATTACTGAAGCAAAAATGTTTATCTTAACAATCTACAGCTATATATTATGATTTTAATGTTTGTTACATAATAAGGGGCCAAAATGCTCAATTTTTGACGCTTTATATCTCAAAAGTCGGAATATTTTGATAACTAATATTGAACAAAAGATGTTCAAAATAATGTTCTAAACAATATACATTGTACAACCTTTCATTTTTCGCTAAACGTCCCCATTAGGAGTTGAAGGGTTGGCCCTTAAATATTTCTCTTACAAATAACTCGAAAACGCAAGAGAATCTCTGAATAGTTGTTGAATAAAAAGTGTTCAAAATCCTGAGAGGTTTAAGATTAAATCCAGAAAAAGGGGGCCGGACACTCAAATTAAGGGCCAAGAGGGGCCAAAAGTCTTCAATCCATAACTCTATAGCAGTCAATATTTTGTTATACATTACTGAAGCAAAAATGTTTATCTCAACAATCTACAACTATATATTATTATATGAATGTCGTATGGTGCATAATAAGGGGCCATAAAGGGCCCAAATGCTAAATCTTTGAAGCTTTATATCTCAAAAGTGGCAAATACTTTGATAAGTAATATTGAACAAAAGATGTTCAAAATCATGTTCTGAACAATATGCAACCTTTCATTTTTCGCTAAAAGTCCCAATTAGGGAGTTGAAGGGTTGGCCCCTAAATATTTCTCTTGTAAATAACTAAAAAACGAAAAAGAATCTCTGAATAGTTATTGAACAAAAAGTGTTCAAAATCCTAAGAGCTTTAAGATGAGATCAAGAAAAAGGGGCTGGTCCCTAATATAAGGGGTCGTGAGGGGCCAAAAGTCTAATTTTGAAGTCTTTAATGATCAATGTATTTTTACAGATTATGGAGGCAAAATCCTTCTTCTTCTCTATCTTTATCATTATTTTAGAATGTAAATCTCAATCAAAATCATATCTCATCTTATCAAGAATCGGACGGAAGACCCACTCGTTGCTCGCAACGAGATCGTATCTAGTTATTAGGGCTTT